TCTTCACCTTGTGATCCACCCATCTCGGCCTCCCAAAGTGCTGGGATTACAGGCATGAGCCACCATCTAGTGTATCTTCTATGAAGATCTATGATTGCATTTCCTGGGTAGTGAGTATCATGCAACTAGTTGTGGCCTACATAAACAGAAGTAATTCATACCATATGTGAGACAGAGTACTTAATTTCTAGGGCAAGACTCTCTGGAGCATTCTCTTTTCTTCTGGCACAGTGACCAGTAATATTCAAGATGGCAGCTGTTTTGTTAATCATGATACCTAAATAACTGCAAATACCACATTACAACTCTTGTCTCATGATTTATATGTAGTATGGTTAAGAAAAATCCTATCTTTTATACCACTGAGCTTTGTGAGTTTATTTCTATAGCATAAGCAACTCTGTCCTGAATGATACACTGCTCCTTGATAGTTATTTTCTGTCCTTTCACTCGATTATTTCCCATGATGGGCAGAATTCTAAAGATGGCCTTTAAAGATTCATGTCTCCTGGTTATTCAGTCAAATGCCCATCTAGATGTTGCTTTAAAAGGATTTTACAGATGTAATTACAGTCCCCAGTGAGGTGACCTTGAAACATGGATATTTTTTCCGGGTGTGCCTGACCCCTTTAGGTGAGTCCTTTAAAAGCTGAGTTTTCTCTGGCTGGTGGCAGTAGGAAAAGTCAGAGAGATTTGAAACATAAAAACTTGAGGAGCCACTGTAGGCTTGAATACGGAAGACGTCACCTAATGAGGAATGTGGATAGCTTCTAGAAGCTAAAATCAGCCCCCAGATGACAGCCAAAGAACTGAGAACTTAGTCCTACAATCACAATGAACTGAGTTTTTCCAATAACAGGAATGAACTTGGAAGAAGACTGCAAGCTCCATATAAGAACACAGTAACTGGACATCTTGATCTCAACCACAGTAGACCAGAATTTTAACCTACAGAACTGTGAGCTAAGAAATGAGTGTTGGTTGAAACCATTAAATGTGTGGTAATTTGTAATGAAACAATAGTAGTATTCGGCACAATCACCAATTTTCATGTTCATTCTTTTTTTTAATGTTCTGACTTTCTCCACTAAAATAAAAGGAGTCATTTTTCTTGTCTTGCCGCCTATCTAAGCATTGAAATTATCTTGTGGTCATTTTCTTTGGTTCTCCTGGTTCAAGAATTAACCGTAATAAATGAGAGTGAGAAACAAGGAGAAGCTATTAGCCAAGTAATAATTTATCTTGGCTTTTATGTACTCTCACAATTGACAAGAATTATGTAAATTATTGCCTCAAGCTAAATTTATTTTAGGGCCAAAATATAAGAATTTTCCCTTATCATCCAGAAGGCATCCCCTTCCCATACGACTGTAACAGTCATAAGCCATACCCCTTCCTCATCTTGAAAGGAGTAAGGGAGTGGGGTGAAACCTTAAGAAACAGATTCTTCAGCTAAAATTCAACATCCCTTCATGTTAAAAACTCTCAATAATCTAGGTATTGAAATACCTCAAAATAATAAGAGTGATACATGACAAACCCACAGTCAATATCATAATGAATGAGCAAAAGCTAGAAGCATTCCCTTTCAAAACTGGCACAAGGATGTCCTCTCTTACCACTCCTATTCAACATAGTATTGGAAGTTCTGGACAGAGCAATCAGGCAAGAGAAGAAATAAAGAGTAGTCAAACAGGAAGAGAAGAAGTCAAATTATCTTTGTTTGCAGATGACATGACCCTGTATCTAGAAAACCCCATCGTCTCAGCCCAAAAGTTTCTTCAGCTGATAAGCAACTTCAGCAAACTCTCAGGATACAAAATCAATGCGCAAACATTGCTAGCATTCCTAAACATCAACAACAGGTGAGCAGAGAGCCAAATTATAAATGAACTCCTACTCGCAATTGCTACAAAGAGAATAAACACAAAAATACAGCTAACAAAGGAAGTGAAGAGCCTCTTCAAGGAAAACTACAAACCACTGCACAAGGAAATCAGAGATGACACAAACAAATGGAAAAATATTCCATGCACATGGATAGGGAGAATCAGTATCACGAAAATGGTCATACTACCCAAAATAATTCATAGATTCAATGCTATTCCCATTAAACTACCACTGTCATTCTTCACAGAATTAGAAAAATTTTTTTTAATTCATATGAAACCAAAAAAAGAGCCCATATAGCCAAGACAATCCTAAGCAAAAAGAACAAAGCTGGAGGCATCACGTTACCAGACCTCAAACTATGCTACAAGGCTACAGTAACTGCAGCAGCATGGTACTGGTACAAAAAGAGACACATAGACCGATGAAACAGAATAGGGAACTCAGTTTCTAAGACCATACACCTACAACTTTCTGATCTTCGACAAACCTGACAAACAAAAGCAATGGGGAAAGGACTCTCTATTGAATAAATGGTGCTGGGAGAACTGGCTAGCCACATGCAGAAAATAAAAGCTGGACTCCTTCTTTACATCTTATACAAAAATCAACTCAAGGTGGATTAAAGACTTAAATGTACAGGCCAAAACTCTAAACATCCTAGAAGAGAATGCATTCAGGACACAGGCATGGGCAAGTAAAGCATGATGACAAAATGCCAAAAGCAATTACAAAGAAAGCAAAAATTTACACATGGGATCTAATTAAACCAAAGAGCTTCTGCACAGCAAAATAAACTATCAACAGAGCAAACAGACAACCTACAGATTAGGATAAAATTTTTGCAATACTAGGAAATCAAATTCAACAATACATTAGAAAGAATGTTCGCCATGACCAAGTGAGATTTATCCCTGGGATGGAAGGATGGTTGAACATATGCAAATTAATTTATGGGATAAAGCCTATCGACAGAATGAAGGATAAAAACCATATAATCATTTCAATTGATGCCAAGAAAGCATTTAATAAAACTCAATATGTCATCATGATACAAACCCTCAAAACACTGGAAACAGAAGAAACATACTTCAATGTGTTAAAAGCCATATACCACAGACCCACAACTAGTACTGAAGTGGCCTCATTGTCTGGGATAACACTCAGAGTTCTTGGTCTCACAGTGAAGGAAATCAAGGACACAGACACACCAAGAGTGAGGTTTAGAGCAGAAATTTAAGAGGCAAAAGAAAGAGAACAGCTCTTTACTTCAGAGATGGGTCGCAGAAAAAAGGATTGCCATGCTGCAGTGAAATGCAGGAGTTATTATAGATGAGCTAGTGGGGAGGCAGTATCCAATGTATGTAGGGTACAACCAACCAGTTAGGACCAGGTGTACCATCTGCATACGGCATGAATCTCTGGCAGCCCCTGATCTTTTATTACGCAGGCAGGTCCTCAGCCTGAGCTACGCCATGTTACTCATTTCTTTCTTACTGTCCATGTGCTAAAAAGGGGGAGGTGGGACACCCATGATGGATATGCTTGACCCCAGGTGGCCTTTTCTATCTAAGCAGCTGCTGGCATCCCCCTATGAAAGCTTCCAGTTTCCTATCTATGACAGAAAACCAATGTACCAACATTTCATCTCAAACACAAAATTTAAACTTTCAAAAAAGATACAATTTTCAAGAGAATTAAAAATCTAGAAATAAACTTAACAAAAGTGTACAAGAATTGTTTGCAGAAAAATGTAACACTTTATTAAGAGAATGTTAGCAGTCAACTTTCCAGCATAAGAACAACATTCTTGGTTTCGGTCTTCATTTGTCTTGGTTTAAATCTATGGTTGCCCTTCACCTATAATACAAATATAAAATGAGGGCATGTTACTCAGCAGATTTTTATTCAGATGACATTAAAGGTATACAACTACCATGTTGATTAACTAAAATCAGAACCCTAAGGGTGACCCTTTAGCTTATGTCCAGTTAGCCTCTGAATTAACTCTGAAAGTAGACTTCTAGGCATATTAACAATATTTTATTTCATGCTACTTTTTCTAGTAGAAGGAGGAAACAAAGAGACTGTTCAAGATCAGAATGAATTAAATCAAGTGAATCTATTTTATATGTATAAGTAGAAAGCAAAAACATGCATATACTTTCAGCAAAAATTCAACCAAACAAAACCAAAGGAAAAAAAGATATTTTTTAAAGTATCATTTAAATATTTTGATATGAAATAACACTCTGAATATAGAGTATGCTGAGAACTGCCTAAGTGAAGTAAATAGAAAAGTCAGTATTACATTTGTTTTGTGTCTCTTGTGGAAAAGTGTAAAAATGTTACTTTGGACTAGCTTAGCCATTATACAGCTGCTTTAAGTAGGGTGAACATTTGTCACTATTTTTGCCGGTACTCCTGCCTCTTTACACACATAAAAGCATTTCAGCTTATACAGTAAACTAAATACCCACACTAGCTTTAAGCCATTGCCATCACAATTAACATCACAATAGAAACTGACGTATATTATAAACATGTTATGTATTTGTTAAAAATGGGCCTGTATAAAAATACCTGAAAATCGTTGGCTGTTGGTTAAATGAATTACATTCAAAAGTCAGAAAACCTTTTCATATCTTTCTTGTAAAATGACACATAAAGTTGTATATATTTATCACGTACAACATGATATTCTAAAATAAATATACATTGTAAAATGGCTCAATCAAGCTAATTAAAATATGCATTACTCTCCGCACAGCAGTGAAGACACTCAAAATCTACTCTCTTAGCATGTTTCACATCATTCATACCATAACTCAATTAGCTTAGACCCAATTTTTCTCTGTCTCTTGAACTCCTGGCCTCAAGTGATCCTTCTGCCTCAGCCTCCCAAAGGGCTAGGATTAAGAGCACGAGCCACCACACTTGGCCCTCTATCTCTGATAGTGTGTAAGGCAGCCACTGGGGTCTGAACTAACTTAAAGGAATCTTTATATGTGAACTATTATATCAAGTAGTAGTAATTTTGCCTCTGTCACACAAAATGTAATATTGTAAAAATAGAAACCCTATAATTTGCATCTTAATGAATAACATACCTGCTTCCAGCACTTTAGTGGGATCAACAGTGGGCAGAATCCCCTCCTTGACATCTGGACCATCTCCAGGCTCATCCTCTACTGCAAGCAGAGCCAAGTCCTGTTGAACAGCTTCAACATCAGGCCCTTAAAGATAAAAAGGCCATCAATTTACAAATTAAAACATAAACTACGAACAAGGAAATTATACTTATTCCCTCATCATTACAAAATAAAAACCTGTAGGCCAATTATTTCAGGAATCTGTTGCCAGAAAAAAGAGGAAAGCAGAGATTTTCAAAGACTGCCCTTTCCTTTCCCAAGGTTGGCCCTAGACAACCTACTTGTCCCTTTTGTACTCATTTGTTATTATACTTATCACATTAAATCAGTGATTCGTTTGAGTCAGTCTGACTAGACTATGAGCTTTACGCAGAAATTTAACACTGACATCCCCAGCACTTATATTATGCGGCATGATGAAGCATTAATAAATGTGTGTAAATAAATAAAGAAATAAAAAGCCTCCATCAAAATGGTAGAAAAAATGTTGTGGCTTTTTCTGTGTCCTTGTCCCACCCCTCCCCACAGCAGCAGTAGGAAAAGTTTAAGATTCCTTCCTGCTGTTTTCTGTCCTCCTATTACTGCTGTCATAAAATATAATGCATTAATACACCTCCACTGCCCATAATCATTATTCTTCACTCTCCCTTCACCTTGAACCGCAGGTGCTCCTTCATTTTCGATCTCCCCACTGGGTGCAACACCCTGGGTTTCAGTTGGTGGTTCCTCTTCTTGACGTTTTTCCTCAGTGAGCTGCTGGACCTAAGGGTGTAAGTGTGTGTGTGAAGAAAAGTCTGTAACATAAATACACACAATGCATATGTGCATCTAATCATAAGTCTAATGACATTTTTCAACAGTTAGATATATACACACACACAGACACACACACACACACACACACACACACACAGAGAGAGAGAGAGAGAGCGAGAGAGAGAGAAATATCCATATCCATACAGGCAACACCAGAATATAATACTCCTGAACCAAAGTTTCCTTCATGAGATGCCATCATTTTTTATCATGGAAGACCTGTATCAGTGCATGTACACTAACTGAAAAATATATTTAAAAATAAATTGCGTTAATAGAAAATATCAAACGTTGAAGGACTCACAATAGCAGGTCCAGTCAGTTGGGAAGACTCTTCATCATTTCCTCTTTCTGAGGATTGGGATCTTGTTCTTACATGCTCGCTCATAGTTACCACTGAAAATAGAATATCGTTATTTGGAAAAACTGTATAACAACTTAACTACATATATGAACATTGCATGGCAAGACAGTGATTTGTACTTTTTAAATTTTGAAAATATTTTCAGAATAAATCACCAAGCAATGGTAAATACGCATGCTTTCCAAACAAAGGACAGGCCGAACGCAGTGGCTCACGCCTGTAATCCCAGTACTTTGGGAGACCGAGGTGGGCAGATCAAGAGATTGAGACCATCCTGGCCAACATGGTGAAACCCTGTCTCTACTAAAAATACAAAAAAAAAAAAAAAATTAGCCAGGTGTGGTGGCATGCGCCTGTGGTCCCAGCTACTCGGGAGGCTGAGGTGGAAGAATCGCTTGAACCCAGGAGGCAGAGGTTTCAGTGAGCTGAGACTGCGCCACTGCACTCCAGACTGGCGACAGAGCAAGACTTTGTCTCAAAAAAACAAAAAAGAACGGATTCGTTTATATCACAGTAAAACAGTCACAGAAGTCACCTTAACGCCATAGCAAAAAACAGAGGCCTTTGAGTTTTGGTTTCACAATAAGACCTGCCATTATGAAGACGTTTACGAAAATACAGGCCAAGTATTGAAACTTAAGTGACTACAGCTTTCGTCCCACTCTAGGCCCATTCCCTTCCCAAAATCAAGTTTTGCTGCCATGCACAGCCTCGCCCATTCCTTCCCATGACGTCCATGGCGGAGGTGAGAAGTTGCTGAAACAGAGTGAAGGTTATGCTCCTCACAGGACACCTCTGCCAGGCAGTCTACAGACCTCGGGGCCACAGTCACCAGCCCACAGCGTTCCCAATTCCCAGGCCCCTTCCTTACTGCCCATGCTGTCCCTTCCCCCATCCCTAATGAGCAGTCTGGATACTGTCCTCCCTCAGAGGGTTCTAGGCATTTCGGACTCAGATATCTCTAACAGCCCTCCCAACTCGCGCCCCGTCTTCACGTGATCCCTCCCCTTCGAGGCTCACCTTCCTCCCTCACCCCAGCCCAGCCACGACAAGGCCTATGGCGGCGTCGCGACCTGGGAGGAGCCAAACAACAACCGCGAGGCCCTTTCCCCTCAGAAGCCACCGGCCTAGTCCGCAGGACCTGACCGAAGCCCGCTGCCTCCTACTCACATTCGCGCACCACTAAATTCCCCGAGGGACAGATCTGCGGACCCACCGGCTGAATCTCAGTAAGTGAGAAAGAATGAAGATGGCGGCAAGAACTCAGACGCAGCCTTTCCTGGTAGAGCTCTACGTGGACAAAGGGGCAGCAAGGCGCATGCGCAGCAACAGACATGCCTAGCAACAGACATGCGCAGCAACAGGTCTGTGCCGCATGCGCACTGAGTGGGGCATTCGCCGCGCGACTCAAGATTTCCTGCCCCTGTGGAGAACCTAAACCGCAAGCTCTCCTGACAACAAAAATGAACTTGCAAAGCACTTTTCTTTTTCCCCACCCAACCTTTCTTTCACTTCCAATGGCTTTGGAGAATATGAGCCCCAGATTACTCTAAGGGAAGAATGTATTTCAGAAAAATTCACCATCAGATATTTTAATGCATATTTTATATATGCTTTCATAAATCACTTTCTTGGCTTGTTCACGAGTTTGCTGTCATGCTTGCAATGATCTTACCCACTCCAATACAATAAGAGATTCATAGCTTTTTGTTACATTACTGTACATTCAAAATCATTGATCCATCTGGACAAATTTAAAGTGGTAGAGACTCACCATCATTTGTGGAATCCTTGTTTCACCCACTGTTTTGAAATGGCTCTTTTATCATCTCCTACATCCCCACTCAATTTTGTATGTAACTCTCTCAAATTACCTCCATTGAGTTGTTTATACCTGTACCACTACTATACTATTTTAATTGCTATAGCTTAATTATATTTGAAATGTGAAAAATGCTTCCCTCCCTCATTGCTTTCTCCTTTTCTATCTATTCTGACACGTTTGTCTTTCAGGTGAACTTCAAAATCATTTGATCAGGTCCTAAAATATTCCTATTGAGACACCAGTTATTATTTTTAAATTACATCTTAACTTAGAGACAATAACCATCCTTTGACTTTAGAATCTCTCTATCCAAGAAAAAGATGCTCCCCAATTCCTCAAGTCTTTTTACTTATCCCTCACAATGATTGTGTTATTTGCTTCATATTACTTCTTAACATTCAAACTAAATGTATTCTTGGGCATTTTTATTGTTCTATTCCATTGCTGACAGATATTTGCTTTTACCCCATTATGTTTTCTATAGAAATCAAACAATTTGTAAACAATACGATTCTATACCTAGGAAATTCCAAACTCTCTGCCCAAAAGCTCCTTGATCTGATAAACAACCTCAGGAAAGTTTCAGAATACAAAATTAATGTACAAAAACAAGGAGCATTTCTATACACCAACAACCTTCAAGCTGACAGCCAACTGAGAAACACAATCCATTCACAATTGCCATGAAGAGAATAAAATACCTAGGAATACAGCTAACTAGGGAGGAGAAAAATCTCTGCTCAAAGAAATCAGAGATTATGATGGTTTCCAGGTTCATCCATGTCCCTACAAAGGACATGAACTCATCGTTTTTGATGGCTGCATAATATTCCATGGTGTATATGTACCACATTTTCCCTGTCCAGTCCAACACATGGACACAGGGAGGGAAGCACTACTCATTGAGGTCTGTTGGGGGTAAATGGGGGACGGACAGGGGTGGTGGGGAGGTGGGAAGAGATAGCATGGGGAGAAATGTCAGATATAGGTGAAGGGGAGGAAGGCAGCAAATCACACTGCCATGTATGTACCTATGCAACAATCTTGCATGTTCTTCACATGTACCCCAAAACATAAAATGCAATTAAAAAAAAAAAGAAATCAGTGATGACACAAACAAATGGAAAAACATTCCACGTTCGTAAACAGGAAGAGGCAACATTGTCAAAATGGACAAAATGACCAAAGCGATTTATAAATTCAATGATGTTCCTATTAAACTATCAATGACAGTCTTCACGGAACTAGAAAAAAAACTATTTTAAAATTTATATGTGATGGTTGGGGGGACTCTAGCATGATGGCCTAATAGGAACAGCTTTGGTCTGCAGCTGCCAGTGAGACCAACACAGAAGGCAAGGGATTTCTGCATTTCCAACTGAGGTGCCCAGTTCATCTCATTGGTACTGGTTAGGCAGTGGGTGCAGCCCAATGGAGGGCGAGCAGAAGCAGGGTGAAGCACCACCTCACTTGTAAAGTGCAAGGAGCTGGGAATCTCCCTCCTCCAGCCAAGGGAAGCTGTGAGGGACTGTGCTATCTGGCCCAAATACTATGCTTCTCCCACAGTTTTTGAAATCTTAGACCAGCAGACTCCCTCATGTGCCACCACCACCAGAGCCCTGGGTTTCAAGCACAAAACTGGGTAGCTGTTTGGGCAGACACTGAGCTAGCTGCAGGAGGTTCTTTTTTTTTTTAAACCCAGTGGCACCTGGGACCCCAGTGTGGCAGAACTGTTCACTCCCCCAGAAAGGGGGCTGAAGCCAGGGAGCCAAGTAGTCTCACTCAGCAAGTCCCACTCCCACACGGACCCCATCAAGCTAAGAATCACTGGCTTGAAATTCTCACTGCCAGCCCAGCACTCTGAAGTCGACCTGGGACTCTGGAGCTTGGTAGGGGGAGGGGCGTCTGCCATTACTGAGGCTTCAGTAGGCAGTTTTCCCCTGACAGTGTTAAGGAGGCCTGGAAGCTTGGAATGGACAGAACACACCAAAGTGTGGCAAAGCACCTGTGGCCAGATTGCCTCTCTAGATTCCTCCTCATGGGGCAGGGCACCTCTGAAAAAAAGGCAGCAGCCCCAGTTGGGGGCTTATAGATTAAACTGCCACCTCCCTGGGACACAGCACCTGGAGGAAAGGGTGGCTGTGGGCACAGCTGCTGCAGACTTAAACGTTCTGGCCTGCTGACTCTGAAGAGCCAGTGCTCGAGCTCTGCTAAGGAACAGACTGCCTTCTCATGTGGGTCCTTGAACCCCATGCCTCCTGACTGGGAGAGACCTCCCAGCAGGTGTCAACAGACATCTCATACAGGAGAGCTCTGGCTGGCATCAGGCTGTTGCCCCTCTGGGACAAAGCTTCCAGAGGAAGGAGCAAGCAGCAATCTTTGCTATTCTGCAGCCTCCACTGATGATACCCAGGCAAACAGGGTCTGGAGTGGACCTCAAGCAAACTGCAGCAGACCTGCAGAAGAGGAGCCCGTTAGGGAAAAAAAATAACAGCAATAACATCAACATCACCAAAAAGGACCCCCACATGGAAACCCCATCCAAAGGTCATCAGCCTCAAAGATCAAAGGCAGATAAATCCACAAAGATGAGGAAAAACCAGGCAAAAAATGCTGAAAATTCCAAAAACTAGGATGCCTCTTCTCCTACAAATGATCACAACTCCTCTCTAGCAAAGGCACAAAACTGAATGGAGAATGAGTTTGACAAATTGAAAGAAGTAGGCTTCAGAGGTGGGTAATAACAAACTCCTCTGAGCTTAAAGGAGAATGTTCTAACCCAATGCAAGGAAGCAAAGAACCTTAATAAAAGGTTACAGGAACTGCTAACTAGAAAATCCTGTTTTAGGGAAGAACATAAATGACCTGAGGAAGGTGAAAAACACAGGGCAAGATCTTTGTGAAGCATACACAAGTATTAATAGCTGAATCAATCAAGCAGAAGAAAGGATATCAGAGATTGAAGATCAACTTACTGAAAAGAGGCATGAAGACAAGATTAGAGAAAAAGGAACGGAAAGGAATGAACAAAGCCTCTAATAAATGTGGGACTATGTGTAAAGACCAAACCTGCAATTGATTGAGGTCCCTGAAAGTGACAGGGAGAATGGACCCAAGTTAGAAAACACACTTCGGATATTATCCAGGAGAATTTCTCCAACCTAGCAAGACAGGCCAACATTCAAATACAACAAATACAGTGAACACCACTAAGATACTCCTAGAGAAGATCAACCCCAAGACACATAGTCGTCAGATTCTTCAAAGTTGAAAGAAAGGGGAAAATGTTAAGGGCAGCCAGAGAGAAAGGTCACGTTACCTACAAAGGAAGCCCATCAAACTAATAGCAGAACTCTCTGCAGAAACCCTACAAGCCAGAAAAGAGTGGGGGCCAATATTCAAGAAAATAATTTGCAACCCAGAATTTCATATCCAGCCAAGCTAAGCTTCGTTAGCAAAGGAAAAATAAAATCCTTTCCAGACAAGCAAATGCTGAAGGATTTTGTCACCACCAGGCCTGCCTTACAAGAGCTCCTGAAGAAAGCACTAAATATGGAGAAGAAAAAACACTGGTACTAGCCACTGCAAAAAAACACATCAAAATATATAGACCAATGACACTGTGAAGAAGCTGCATAAACTAATGTGCAAAATAACCAGCTAGCACCATGATGACAGGATCAAATTCATACATAACAATATTAATCTTAAATGTAAATGGGCTAAATGCCCCAGTTAAAAGACATAGACTGGTAAATTGGATAGAGTAAAGACCCATCAGTGTGCTGTATTCAGGAGACTTGTCTCGCGTGCAAAGACACACATAGGCTCAGAAAAGCAAAAAAGAAAAAAAAAGCAAGAGCTGCAATCCTGGTCTCTGAAAAAAAACAGACTTTAAACCAACAAAGATAAAAAAATACAAAGAAGGGTGTTACAGAATGGTAGAGATCAATCAAACAAGAAGAAAGAACTATCCTAAATATATATGCACCCAATTCAGGAGAAACCAGATTCATAAAACAAGTTCTTAGAGACCTACAAAGAGACTTACACTCCCACACAATAATTGTGGGAGACTTTAACACCCCATCGTCAATATTAGACAGATCAATGAGACACAAAATTAACAAGGATATTCAGGACTTCAACTCAGCTCTGGACCAAGTGGACCTAATATGTGTATACAGAACTCTCCACCACAAATCAACAGAATATAC